AGCCTCAGCCTTCTAAGTAGTGGGGATTATAGGCATGTGGGAGTTCTTACATTATTCTATTTCCTAGGATGTTGAAGTAATTCCTACAGTCCCTAGAGAAAACTTGCCTATGTCATCTACCTGTGTAGGTACCCCTGGCCCTACTCTGAGATTTAAAACATGGCCTCCAACATCAGAAAATACTAAATCTCAAATATGGCCCCCACAGTTCTGCCTGGACACTACCTTAATAGATCTGAAAAATCTCCAGTGGAGCCAATTATTTAAGTGGGAAAAAAATTCTAGTTTTTGTCTATTTGATTATAGAAGGTCATTGTTAAGAGTGATCATTCCTGGAAAGAGGAGAGTCTTGTAAGAATGCAAGGGAAGGAGAATACAAACAGCTAACATTATGTTATGTACTGAGCACTGTGCCATATACTTTACCTTAAATATTACTTCCAGTGAACTCAGGGGAGATTGGTGGTTCTCACACTTTGGTGTGTAAGAAACACCTCTGAGGCTTGTTAACTATACAGAATCCTGTACTTCATCATCACATACTCTGAACAACAAATACTGTTACGGTAGTGATTCTCAGATCACACTAAAGTGTATGTATTATTTTTCCCAGAGTCTCAGCAAGACCATGCAGCAGAAGTATCCTATGGTATAATATGAAATATATTTGGTTTTTGTCCCTGGTTTCTGTCAGAGAAGACTTAAAATTCTTAGTGTTTTCAGAGTGATGGGAGGTGTCTTTAGGTTTTTCACTATGAGCCCCTGTTATAATACCTTGGTTTATACTAATGAGGAGACAGGGTGGGGCTCTACATAGCCCAGAATGAGACTGGTTACCAGGAAGTACAAGTGATTGAAGGATTGAAGAGTTGAAACTTTCTGCTCTGCCCATCATCCTCCAGGAAACGGTAATGCAGTGGAGATTAAGATGTATAAAACAATGAAATTTGATGAGCCTCCTAGATGCCAAACATGTGGAAGTGTTGGGATGCCAGTGGGCTAGAGAGAATATGGAAGCTCGGTGTGTCCTCCTTAGGATGGCCTTAGGCCTGAGCTTAAGCAACTCCATTTTAAAAACTCCAGTTTGAAACCTGCAGTTTCACCAGGCACACCCACAGAGCCCTCCATAATGGCCACAAATAAGTTACTTCCCCTCACCATGATAAATAGAGTGAAGTCCCTAGTAGGCTGTCCTTGCCTGATAAGAGGGAAAGGTGAGAAGATCAGGGGGGAGACCACCAGACCAGATGTTTCTGACCCCAGGGTAAATGATGTTACTGAGAAATCCGTAGTAGTTGATAAAGATTGAAAGGGGGGGTCAAAAACCCCCAAAATTTAGTATAAATAATAGAGCAAATGAACAGGGATTCATTCAGCCGCCGAAACAAGGATGCACTCAAGCTGGAGAGCCTGACGAGGACCTGACCTCCCATCACTTGTCATCTTTTCCTGAGCCTCCGCGTGAGCCTCACTGCTCTCAAACTCTACTGCCTCGTTTGAACCTTGGTAAGAGCTGAAACTTCTCCCTACGACCCTCTCCTCAACAGGTCGTCCACTCTACGCCAGGAAAAGCCTGCCTTGGTTCCAGACCTGGTCACCAAGGTCTGATTGAGTGTGCATCTGCTGGACATAAAGCCTAAGGCTTAAGACTTTTGATCTTAGCCTTCAGAGGAAATGTCTGGCATTAGCCATGATTAAGTGTGTTTTGCAGTGCTTAGAATTAATCTAGAATTGTTTACTGTAAGTTAATTAATCTAGAATTCTTTGCTGTGAATTGTATCTATTTCAGTGCTAGCATTAAGGATTGTCGTTTTCTTGATTAAGAACCTATAGAGTGAAATTGTATTGAGTAATTTGAGTGAATAAAGCATTGAAAGGGGCAGAAGCACATGGACATTCTTTATTTCTCCCCCGACTGCATACGTCGCAATTTTGCCCCCTCAGGACACCTCTCTACCCCTGACCCCAAGGTAGAATAGAAGAAATAATAGGTAGAAAAGAGACACAGAGGTAGGACAAGGAAATTAATTTTAATTTAAAGTTCTACTACTTTCCAGGACTCTCATTCCCCAAGTCAGTCTTTTTCTGAGGCCTGTCACACCCATGTTTCTGGAAAATCTATAAATCTTAAAGTTAATCATAAATTTTCTCAGTTATAATAATCAACTTTGTGTGCTGTTAATTAGCCCACCAATTAATACACTAAGCAAAGAGAGAGAAGATATTTTAAGAAAGCTATAATTTAAGGGACTTACCAGTGTTATCTATGATTAGATGATGAAAACCATCTCAGTTTAAGGATCCTGAGAACTACCAGACTGATGTCACCCTCACATACCTTCCCAAACCCACCCCTCACCAAGTTTCCTTTAAAAAAGGAGTCTGGGACCCCCAAACTCATTTCTCACTCTCAAGATGACCCACATTTCTCCCTCAAATGTGTATTCTTTGCTTTGTCTCAAAAGACATCTCTCTCAACATAGCCCATGTTAGATGCAGGACAGGCTGAGTAAGCTGTCTGCAGGGCATCCAAACAAAGTTAACCGCAGGGTGACCTGGCCACTCAAACCCTCTGTCTGGTTCTTTATCACCTGTTTGCTTCAAGCCCAAACGCCCAAGCCCCCCCCCCCTCAAGGCTGAGCACTTTGCGCACCCCCCCCTCCCGCCCTGCTCAAGGCTAAACACTCAGCCCTCCGCTCAAGGCCAAGCACTTAACCCCCTTGTCCCAACAAGGCAGCTTGCAGGCCCAGAGACCCCATTAGATTTGGGCTATAAAAACTCTCTCCTGCCAGACCCCTCTTTCTCTTGATCTCTCTCTTGCTCTCTCTGTCTCTCTTGCGCACTCTCTCTCTCTCTTTCTCTCTCTCTTTCTCTCTCCTTCTCTTTCTCTTTTCTCCTCTGTTGCACTACTGCAATAAAGAGCTCTTGGTTACTCCGAGTGTTGTGGTCACTTTCCTTTCAGCCCATATTCTCCCTTTCACGTGTATCTGCTTTCCCAAATAAATCTGTCTGTGCCTCTACTGACACATGCAAAATTCTTTTCTGTTACATATGTCAAGGACTCTGCTGGTACTGAGTTAAATTATCCCTCTCTCCTGGAACTCCTCAGGACACTTTTCTGGAGACATCTCTTCTTTGGTGACACACCTACCCACCCCTTGTTCTGTACATCTTACCCAAATAGCTATTGCTTAGTAATATCTTTTATTATAATAAAGTGGTAAACACAAATTTATTTCCTTGTATCTATGAACTATTTGACAAGATTATAGTGTGTGTGTGTGTGTGTGTGTGTGTGTGTGTGTGTATGTGTGTGTGTGTGTGTGTGTGTTATGGGAACCCTGCTTCTAACTGGTGGTCAGAAACACAGGACACAACCCAGTGCTTCCAGTTGGGTCCTGAAATGAAGGCAGTCTTGTGAGATTGAGTCAATCTGCAGGATCTGACAGTGACAGAATTGAATTGAAGCAATTGGTATGCGCTAGAGATTTCTCAGTATGCAAGGAAACATGCCCACATAATTTTTTGACCAGAAATGGTAGAGTGTGTTGAGGATAAGTAAAGAGAAAAAAAGCTTTTTTAAATTTTTTACAGATCATTTTTTGCCCCAAATGGGCAGGGTACTTGATCAGTTAACTATCACCTTGAAGGACCATGATTTTGGTTCTATGAAGCTAGTAAATACTCGGCACAATGTCAGGGTTGAGGTAGTGATGGAAGATTAGCAAGCCCAGAATTCTGGCTAGAGTGATGGGTTGATGATTCCCTGTTCTCCCCCTGTCAGCTAATACTATTCACATACTTCACGTGTTTAGAATTAAAACTTCGTTTTTAAATTCCTTCTTTATATCTAACATTAAGTTAGTTGTTGACTTATCCCTCCCACCTTCACCCACCCACCCCTACTAGGGATGAAGCTCCAGGGCCTTGCATGTGCTGGACAGACATTCCGTCACTGAGCTACATCCCCACCTCCAAGTTGTTGATTTTTAAGAGAAAATGTTTTTTTTTTTTTCACTTCAACCATTTCAGGCCCATGGTAACTGTCTTAAAAAGGGCCTCAATGTTCTGCTTCACTACCTTAGAAATCACTCTGAACATTCTTTATCGACACCTTGGGGATGGGATTGTGGTTCAGCAGAACAACGCTCTCCTAGCACATGCAAGGCACTAGGTTCAATCCTCAGCACCACATAAAAGTAAATATAATAAAGGTATTGTGTCCAACTACAACTAAAAAACAAAACACCTTCAGATACTTTCTATTACACACACACACACACACTCCTCAATAACCATGACATCATTGAGATGAAATATGAATTATTTAACAGTATTGATGACTTGAGTAGAAAGGAAATGGCAAGATATGAATTCAAATCAAGAACTACTGGAAAGTCAGGCATGGTGTTCCATGCTTATAAACCCACTACTTAGGATGCCTAGGCAGAAGCATATCAAGTTCAAGGCCAGCTGGGCAAAATTAGAAATTGATCCTCTCTAAAAATTAGAAACAAAAAGGGCTGGGGATGTAGCTCAGTGGTAGGGCATCCCTGGGTTCATACCCAGAAACAGAAAAGCAAACAAAAAACCTACTGGAGAATCGAATTAAAGTTGAATTTTTATTTGCATATTGAATCTATTTTCATTTTCCCCACGAATTAGCCATTAATTTTTGTAAGAAGAAAGTAATAACAGCTCGATTCTTTAAGAACAGTGTTTAAATAGCTGTCTATGTGAAGCAAATTAACTTCCACTATTACGAAGTACATTTCATGTACATTTTTGCAGTTCTGTGTTGGGGGCTTTTGGAGACTCCTGTTTCCATGGGGTTCGCCCAGCCCATCGGTTCGGGATCCTCCAGCCGCCCAAGGCCGGGAAGGGTGCTGGAGGCCCGGGAGAGCCCAGGGACAGGGCGGTGCTCCAAGGGCAGCTCGTTGCTGCCGGCGGCTCCGGAAGTGCGCGCGCCCAGCCTTTATCGCGGCGCCAGTGAGGTGTTGTGGAGCTCACTGGAATCGTGCAGTTGGCCTGTCCGGCGGAGAGTCCGCCCACCCGCAGTCCTGTCACGCCCTCCCTGCCGAGGGCGCAGAGGAACCGTCAAGCCGCGTCCGTCGCCCCTGTCGTCCGCCCCTCGCTGTCCCGCCATGGCCTCACGCCTCCTCCTCGGGTCCCTGCGCGTCCTGGGCCGATGCTGCGCGCCGCGCCCGCCGCCCGCCGTAAGGTGAGTGCTGCAGGGGTGCGGGGCGGGGGCCACGCCGCCCTTCCCGGCGTCTTAGGAGGGGATGGCATCCCCGGGCCAGGCCGCCGCGAGCCTGGGACAAGCAGATGGGCCTGGTCCCTGGCTCCCAGCGCGGGGCCGCCCCCTCCAACGAGGCGGGGAAGATTTCGCCAAATGCGCGTTCCGGAGCCCTGTCTCGCCCGGCTGGTCCCGCGGCCTCGGCGGGACCCGGAGCTGGAAAATGCAGTTCGGATGCTCCCGCAGCCGCGCTGCGACCTTTGGCCTAGTTAGGACTGCAGCGTGTGACAGCCACCTGATAGCGAACTTGGGACCAGCGCTCAGCCCGCGGCGACGCGGCGGAAAAAAGTGGCCAGGGCCAGTAATCCAACACAAATGACCTGGCGAACTCCCCATCAGACAAAGAATCAGCTTTAGATTTATTAGCAATCCGTCAACTAATTAAATACTGGGGGATTATTGAAGGAGCTTCTAAGTGGCTCAGTGACTATTAAGGTGGTGTATTATAATAAGATCAAACGTTTCGGACACCGTCTGATGCATAAAATCCATTCATTGGATAAACAAACTGGAAGCACATAAGATTCATTATTTAATTAGGGTGAGAGGGCAGGTAAATGGTCTAATTACTACATTGTTTGGAAGTAAGGCACTCAGCTGTAAGACTTAATGCTTACTCTCGGGAGGTTCAGGAGGCCTCACCGAATTGGCCACTTTAGTATACACATACTTTTCTAAGTTCAACCCCAGAACATCATACTACTCTAGTAACCCTGAAATTTTTGGTATCAGGCCTTCTTTATGCTCTTAAAATTATAGGACCCTAAAGATCAGTTCGCTATTTTAGTTGAAGTATGGGAAGAAAGTCTATCCTTACAAAGGGGATATTAGAAAAGGAAAGACTTGAGACACTCTTTCATTCATCAGACTATAGTTTTAGTGTAACAGACTTCTTAAACTTATATGTGCATATAAATCACTCAGGGATCTTGTTAAAATACTCATTCTGATTCCATAGGTATGAAGTTAGGCCTAAGATTGTGTATTTATAACCAGCTTTCAGTTGTTGAGGGGTGCACCCGTGGACATTATTTGCTTTTGAAAATGTAAATGAGGCCGAATTTACAGAGCTGAGTCTGGAAGGCTAGTAGTTTATGGCCCTAGTAAAACAGAGCCTCTTTGAAATCGAAAGCAACCTCCTGAGAGCTGCTTTTCTACATATGTATATTCCTTGCCTTTTGTCTACTGTGCTTCCTTTTATAAAAGTTTCAAGGCCCTTGTGTCCCTGAAAATGTAAATATTTTGAACAACTAATAAGAAAAATAGTAAAAAAAAAAGAAAGAAAGAAAAAAGAAAATAAAGATTTAAGAAAGAAAAAGATCTCTTCTATCTTCTTGAGAGCCGGCTTTGAATAACCTGTTTTGCTCACCAACCAACCAGACTCCCAATTTTTGTGGAGCGTTGTGAATGTTGTAAAACCTCTTGCTCCTATTTTCAATAGGGGAGAAAAGGCCAATTTATTTGGTAAAGGATAAACTTGCTGCTAAGTGTTTTGATTTCTTCCCACTATGTAGTCTCTCTTGACTATCTGGGCCGACCTCGACATCTTTATTTTTTTCTTGACATTTCTTTTGCTTTCATGTGTCCTAGTGTATTTTACTTGGAAAAGATTTCCTTAACATAATGTAGGATATAAAAAATTAAGATCCAATTGAACTTGAATATAAATTGTCTTTACTATTATTTACAAATGATTCAGTGTTTTAATAAGGCAGGAAAGAAGAAAAAGAATATGTAGAAAGAAAATGTATAATATTTACTAAATTAAGAAAATAATTTTAAGTTTCTTCATACCTTTCCCAGCCTGTCACTCTCCAAGCCAGTCTCACTTCAAGGCCTTTCACCCTCAAGTTTCTGGGAAATCATAAATCCTAAAGTTACTGTAAATTCACCCATTTATGAAAATTACCTTGTGCATTGTTCATTAGTCTACCAATAAATAGTTTACATAAAGACAGATAGGACATTTTAATAAATCTATCATTTAGGAGACTTTCCAATATTATCTGTGGGTCAGATAATGGAGACCACATCAGCCTGTCAGACTGATGTCACCCTCACATTCCTTTCCTAACCCATCCCTCATCAAGTTTCCTTTAAAAGAAGACCTGGAAACCTGAAAACAGGTCTCTCGCTTTTAAGGTAGCACATATTCTCCCTTGAATGTGTTTTCTTTCCTTTCCTAAATAAGTCTTTATCCCTCTACTGACACTTGCTGAAATTCTTTTCCTTCAACACTGGCTCTGGGTCCAGCCCCACTCCCTCCTCCAAGAGCTCCTCCAGACCCTCTTCTAGAGGTATTTCTTCTTTTGTGACATGAGCTGGCTTATTTTTTCCCTAGAAGAATCCCAACTATGGATAATCTATATGGACACATATATACTTATAGTTTTATTTTTAGTGGCAAGAAATTGGAACCAATCATTTCAACTGGAGAGATAAAGTAAATTTTAGTTTACTCAATGCAACATGACAGTGGTCTGTAAGGACCTTTCATGTTCTGGTTTCCTTTTGTCTCTGCCTTTATATAAATATTTTCCACTCATTCCACTGAAGCCGCACTTAGCCTTCTTGCTGTTCCTAGATTACACCAGACACAATCCAGATTGAAATAACCTAAATGTTAACAAGCAAGACTGATTACTAATAGTATATTAAGCTGATTTACTGTAACTCTTAAAGATGATAATTAGGAAGGCCTCAGTCATATTTTAATGTCTAGTTAAAAGCTCTTTAAAAAAACTTTAAGTCTACTTATCACAAGAAATAGTTCTTTTCTAGACAGATACTTTAAAAAAATTTAAAAAGCAGAGTCCCACTAAGGAAATTTAATAGGAAACAAAAACATGTTTGGATAATCTTTGAGTATATGATACAGTTTTTTATATGTGAGCTGGAAAATGTTCAAAAGAATTCACAGATTTTCAAAATTTCTTCCAGAGGGGAAAAAACCTTAAAGAAGATTGAACTAAAGGAACTGTAAAGAGCAGTCTCATTTTAAGTTTGGTGGATAGGGTGGGGTGGGATGGGGTGGGAAGAGAGGGGAAGGATTAGTTCCTGAAGGTCTTGAATAATCCTATACAAATCCTTGCAGAGACTGGTGGGCATTTAATATACATTTGATTTGGCTCTGCATTGTGGTAATAACATCAACACAGTTTATATCTTATGTACCAGCCATTTAAAATGATGGGATTCTGGATAAAATATTAATTTTGGAGGGTTTGCATTATTTTAAACATTGCATATGGTGTGAAAACGGTATTATTATATTGTACTGTTTGCACTTTACATTATTTAATCTATGTATCTTGTGATAACACTATATTTTACCTGCGGTGAGTACCAGGTATTATCCTCTTTAGAAATTTGGAAGTGGAGACTGAGTTGACTAATGATAAATTGCTTCTTAATTCCAGTGAGGTAGGGGACATCCTATGAAAAGTAGTGATGCTTTAAAGTGTCTCTAGGAAAGTTATATTGTTCAGTAGCATTAATTTGGCTACAAAGAGTAACAATTCATTTACTTTTTCTTAATGCATTTTTTTTAAAAGATGTTCTCATTCTGGAGGGGACAAACGTTTGGAATCTCCTTCTGCTAAAAAATTAACAGATGTAGGAATTAGAAGAATCTTTTCTTCAGAGCACGACATTTTCCGGGAAAGTGTAAGGAAGTTTTTTCAAGAAGAAGTGGTTCCTCATCATTCAGAGTAAGCTCACCTACCTTCATGTTTCAATGTTATATAAAAGCGCCAAATATGAAAATAACTATTTCCTAGAATGTTGTATATTGTGCAGAAAAAATAATGTCATTGCTTTACTAACATTTTTATTGTTCTTCACCATAATCCTGTAATATCCTAGGATTCTTAAGTTTATACCTTTTTAAATGATTTTCGCTTTTTTTGTTTTGTTTTGTTTCTAAGATAGGTTCTCACTGTGTTGCCTAGGCTAGTCTCCTGAATCATGGAATCAAGTGATCCTCCCTTCTCACCCTCCTGAGTATCTGGGACTACATGAATGTGCCATCATACCTGGTTATCTTAATTTATTTTTTTTCTTCCCCACAGTGCTTAAGATAGAGCCCAGAGCCTTGCCCATGCTGGGTAAGTGCTCTGCCCATGAGCTACATTTTTTTTTTCTGTTGTACTGGGGATTGAACCCAGGGCCTCATATATTCTAGTCAAGAGCTCTACCATGGGAGCTATATCCCCAGTCTTAAATGAATTTTTAAATGTATAACATACAGTGCAATAGTGAGAACATTCAAAAATTTGAAATTTACTCAAGAAAAGTATTTTTTGAAAACTATGGGTAAATAGCAGCAAACTGCTAGTCCATTTCATATTCTTTCTTTTTCTGTTTTATGAATGAACTAAAGGAAAGCTCAAAAGGCCAGTGGAGTACAAATCTTGGTAGCTGATCAGCCAGTACCTCTGAGCTACATTTCCAGCCCTCTTTAAAACTTTTTTGAGATAGGATCTTGCTGAGTTGCTCAGGCTGGCTTTGACCTTGCAATTCTCCTGCCCTACTCTCTCCAGTCACTGGAATTACAGACATGTGCCACCATACCCAGGTTTTATATTAATACTTTCTTGGTTATAATGACCAAAATTAGCTAAACTCAGAAGCTGTGACTGGTCTAGTGAAAAGCAATCAGCTTTTTGAAGATAAAAGAAATAAAACATACTTAATTCTAGGAGAGTTTTCCTTTTTCTTTTTCTTTCTTTCTTTTTTTTTTTTTTTTGTACCAGGGATTGAATCCAATAGCACTTTACCACTGAGCCTCAGTACTATTTTTAATTTCCAAACAAGATCTTGCTAAATCGTTGCTGAGGGTGACATTAAATTTATAATCCTACTGCCTCAGCCTCTTGAGATTACAGGTATGCACCACTATACCTGGCTTCTTTGCTGCTTTTCAATTTTGTTTCACAACTATTGTTGAGGATGCCTTGAAATAAAGATAATAGAGTTGACAAATTTTGAGTGGAGTACTCAAATAACCCATGTCTTACTAACTGTATCTACCACTTTAAAAAACACAAAAATATTTTCACATTTTTTTCACTATTTCTGACTATCCATGGTTTCCTTACTATGCTATTTCCATTTTCAAAGAGGAAAAGCTAGGGATGGGCCTTTAGCAAGCTTGAGGCCCTCCAGTCGGTCGGGTGCGGGTGAGGGAGGAGATGGCACAGTCTTCTCAGAAATTCATTTGACAGATAGATGTATGCTATAAGGTGCTTCTGCTTTCCTGTCATTCCAATTTAAATGTAATGAGGTGGTTTCCTCATGTCAGCTTTCATATGCTATAAATTCAGGAAAGATGCAGAGAATTGTCTTTACAAGACAGGTCAGGCAGATTCCCATGACTATATGGCATAACTAAGCTTGCACGCTGCCAGCACCAACCAGCAAAACTGTACTCATGAATTTCAGTGGGTATATTTTATAGGTCGAATAAATAGTGAAGAAAGAAGGCAGAAAGTGCCAAATATGAAGAAGTAAGGAAGAGAAAAAGAAGGAGAAATGATAAGTAGAGTCCAGTTACAAATAGAAGGGTATGACCAGTGTGCACAGTTAACCTTAAACCAAGGATGCATTCCTGCACAAAATTATTCAAAGTGTGGCCATTTAAATAATTTGAAAGAAATCTATCTGATTTTTAAATATTTAATTGCAGATGGGAGAAAGCTGGAGAAGTGCCCAGGGAACTCTGGGAAAAGGCTGGAAAACAAGGGCTGCTTGGAGTCAATATTGCAGAGCAGCATGGTGGTATTGGTGGTGACTTGTACTCCACAGCTATTGTTTGGGAAGAGCAGTAAGTATGGAGACATTTGAAGTTGAGTCATGTTTTGAATGTTCATTTTTTTCAAATGATAATAAAAGAATGCTTTCTGATCTTCTGGGAAGATTGAAAATTCAGTGTAAAATGTGAAAGATTATGGCACTTATACTATTCTGCATTTCTTTTTTGGGGGTGGGTGGGTGGAGCTGGTAGCAGGGATTGAACTCAGGGGCACTCAACCACTGAGCCACATCCCCAGCCCTATTTTATATTTCATTTAGAGACAGTGTCTCACTGAGTGGCTAAGTTCCTCACTAAGTTGCTGAGGCTGGCTTTGAACTCATCCTCCTGCCTCAGCCTCCCAAACTGCTGGGATTATAGGCATGTGCCACTGTGCCTGGCTCCTGTGCATTTCTTAAATGTGGGAAATCAGAAAATCCTCTTTTATGTTATTGAAATAGGTACTGTTGAAAGTTAAAGAGTTAATTTCTGGTTGGCTCATAGGGTTATTTTTTTCTTTTAAAAAGATATTTTAAAGAGAACAGCAGAATGGAAAATTATTATCAAATACAATAGAAGTCTAATATATAAGAACACAGGTTTCAGTTAAAATGGACAAAAGATTTGAAGGAACATCTTTATAAAAAAATGAGTTAGGTTTTTTGGTTTGTTTTTTGTTTTTGTTTTTGTTTTGTAGTTGTAGATGGACTTGTTTATTTTTATGTGGTGCTAAAGACTGAACCCAGCACCTCACACATGCAAAGCAAGTGCTCTGCCACTGAGCTACAACCCCAGCCCCAATTAGGCTTTTTTAAGTGGAAAAAGTTCATCCTTACTACCAACCAATTGTAAATTAAGTTAACCTGGAGGTATCATTATATATATTTACAAAATTTATGAAAATGAGAATTCTTATCACATAGTGTTGACAAGTGGTAAAAGTGGCATATTCATATACTACTGGTGACATTATAAGGGGATTAAAAAGGTAAATATATGTATAAAAAGTAAAAATGTTTTCACTCTGATTTAGAATGGCATTTGGGGGAATTTATCTGAAAAATAATTTAATAGGAAAAAATAGAAGCTACATTCAGAAATCATTATCATGTTAGATCATAATTGCCAAAATTTTGAAGCAATTTAAATCTGTAACAGTGAGATAATGAATAAGAAAATCATGGGACATAAATAATTTGGAATATTTCGCAGCTTTTTAAGATTATAATAAAAAAACTAAGTTAAAAAGAGGATTTTTGTTATGTCATATAATTTAAGAAGAAAACAGCAAAGTAAAAAATTCATAGGGACTACATCTACATTAGGATATATCCAAAGATAATTTTCCATAATAAAAATAGTTGATGTGTCAGGGTTATACAATTGTAGGTTATCAGTAATTTATTTCTTAATTCTTTAAATAATTATTTATTGAGCCGTTAGAACACTGTTACTATTTTAGAACCAACAATAAAAAGAAGAATAAAAACAACATTCAGGAAGGTCATAGGTTTATGAGGAAACAGGCTGTTTGCATACAACCTACCACACAATCAAGATCTTTAATACTGGGGCTGGGGATGTGGCTCAAGCGGTAGCAAGCTTGCCTGGCATGCGTGCGGCCCGGTTTCGATCCTCAGCACCACATACAAAGATGTCGTGTCTGCCGAAAACTAAAAAAAATAAATATTGAAATTCTCTCTTTCTTTCTCTCTCTCTCTTAAAAAAAAAGATCTTTAATACTTTGTAGTTCCAATAGTCATTTTTAATTGAAAATTAAAGACACTAAGAGTAGAACAAAATAACTATCTTATGTTTTTAATACTTTTTTTTTCTTTTTAAGAGCATATTCAAATTGTACAGGGCCAGGTTTCAGTCTTCATTCAGATATCGTCATGCCTTATATTGCCAACTATGGCTCAAAAGAACAGATTGAGCACTTCATCCCCCAGATGACAGCAGGCAAATGCATTGGTGCCATAGCAATGACAGAGCCTGGTGCTGGAAGGTAAGTCAACCTTTATTTGATTTTAAATTCTTGGAAGCAGTGCCCTAATAACAAACATTTTCTTAGTATGTTTGGCTCTCCATATTTGTCAGTTCTGCATCCATGAATTCAAATGACCTCAAATCAGAAATACTCAAAAAGAGAAAAAAATTGTGTCTGTACTGAACATGTACTTTTTTCTTGCTACTTAGCTACATCTCCAGCCCTTTTTATTTTTTATTTTGAGACAGGATGTTGCTAAAAAAAATTGCCCAGGCTGGCCTCAAACTTGCAGTCCTCCTGCCTCTGCCTCATGGGTAGCTGGTATTACAGTAGCCCAACAGAAAAGTCTTTACTTTAATAACTAAAATTTAAGGTAAATACTCAAAGAGAATACATTAGTTTCCTGTGGCTTCTGTAGCAAACTACCACCAAAGTTTATGACTTAAACAACAGAAATGGATTCTTTAAACAATTTGGAAGGCCCAAAATTTAAAATCAGTATCATTGGGCCCCAAATTAGTTATCAGGAGAGCCAAGCATCCTCCAGAGGGCATAGAGAAGAATTTACTCCTTGTGTTTCTATCTCCTGGTGGCTCCTGGTGTTCCTTGGCTTATTGCCTTTGTGATCACGTTGCTTTCTCCTTTTCTGTTTATGGAATCTTCCTGTCTCAGTCTTTCTCTCCTAAGGACGTTTGTGATTACATTTACAGGTCATCCAGATAATTCACTATAATCTTCCCATCTCAATATCCTTAAGTTATACTTTTCCATATAAAGCTACATTTATAGATTTTAGGGATTACCACCTGATATTTTAGGGGTCATTATTCATCCAAATACAGAGTTATAAAAAAGAAAATGTGTCCTGGAGTATAAAAATATAAAGACCACATAGAAGAAGAATCAGAAAAATTTCATAATATATGAGGACTATTTATTTATAATGCTAATCACTGTAGGTTTTTGAAACCTAAATTTCTAACAATAGAGGATTGTTAGTTAAAAATCATGGTAAATTCACATGATGATATTCTATGTAGATAAAAAACTATTGGATATTATTATGTATGGTTCCAATTTTACAAATATACATTTATAGGTGTGTCTAAATCTATGGAAAAATAATTGCAAGCATGTATTTCTAAAATGTTCAGGAGATAAGTTTATTTGTTAAATAAATTTTCTTTGGAATACTGTCTATATTTCTTCATATTTTAATTAAAATACTGTCTACATTTTTTAAAAATTCTACTTTTAGAGCAAGTTTGTTGAAACAGCATTTTAGATGTAGTCTTTTTTTTTTTTTGGCAGTATTTGCTTTTGGGTATTGAATACTGGGTCTTATATATGCTAGGTCAGCACTTTACCACTGAGGTACAACCTCAGCTATTTTTTAATTTTAAAACAGAATCTCACTACATTGTGATCCTTCTGCCTCAGGGTTCCAAATAGCTAGGATTACAGGAGTGTGCCAGCACATCTGGTGAGAAATAGTATTTTTTAATAGCTAAATTCTTGATGAGAAGAAGTAGAGGAAGGAACCAAAGTATGTAAAGGTAGGTAAAATATATTGTGATACATAATTTCAAAAGTGAGCCAATTTGTGGTTTTGAGCATTGTTGGGCATTTATGTACTCTATGAAGTTTGGCTAATTTATTTAATTTTTGGTTTTTTGCTGTGCTGGGAATCAAACCCAGGGCCTTGATATGCTAGGCAAGTGCTCTACTACTGAGCCACATATCCAGCCCAAGGTTATTTAATCTTAATCATACATTCATTCATAGAACGACTAGAATGTAATATATTAGACATGATTTTTTAGTTCAATTGTGTGAACATTTCTTATATTAAGATTTTTATAATGGCATATCCAGTTTGAATGATCACATTGTATATATACTTATATAATAGCATTTGTCTAATTTCTTTTTCACCCACTGATGAATTTTTTTATCTTTTCTTTCAATTACAGTGACTTACAAGGAGTAAGAACAAATGCCAAAAAGGATGGAAGTGATTGGATTCTCAATGGAAGCAAGGTGGGTAAAGAGGGACTTCTCTGACCCTTCTTTCCAGAGTCATGCCATGGGTAATGATGTTATTATGTAAGGATTCACTTAGGAATTGTTTACTTAAGTATTTGTGAGGTGGAGAGAAATTTACAACTTATTTACATGACACAAGATCTATGGTAACCCATCTGTGTTCCATGCTGCATGTGTTCTTAAAGATACCTCAAAGGTGGTTTTAGCTTCCAAACAGCTCTTCTCAAAAACGACAAAAGTGGGAAAGTTAGGTTTATATTACCCCAACATGGGACAGACAATAGCTGAACTTTATGAAAGACTGGGGAAAAAGCTTTCTGATAAATATCAAAAAGAGTTTGAAAGATACCAGATCATAGAAGCCTTTTCAATTCTATGTACAGATTTAGAGAGCTCCTCTAAACAGGATCACAGATGGCTCAAGAGCAAACATATCTCTTAGAACCTAAAATCGTTCAGGGAAAATGATACCTAGAATTATGTCTGGTATATACTTAGTATATATTTTTTGTTGACTGAGTATTAATATTCATTTTCTACACTGTTCTAAGAAGTCTTGTTGAAAATATGTTCCAGGGTCTGTTGAAGGTGAGTTTTTCTGTGTTATTTTTGTTTGTTTGGTGCTGGGGGTTCCAGGGCCTCATACATGCTAAGTATGTCCTCTGGTACTGAGTTATGTCCCCAGCCCTATTTTCTTTACTAATTTTTTTTTTATTTCCAGTTAGTTTTAGTCTAATACATTTTTCCTTTCCTTTTTTTTTTTTTTTTTTTTTTTGGTGCTAGGAATCAAACCTCTGACTTCACACTTGCAGGGCAGGCATTCTGCCACTGAACTCCAGTGAGCTATATATCTCCAGCCCAGGCTGATACCTTTATATTTACAAAGTCAAATATAATCATATAATCATAGCACTGTCAAATTCCTAAAAGTTTCTAAATGATCTCAATTTCTGTACTTATATTATCAGAGACTGGTAACAATTGTGAACCAACATCAGACTGCAGACCAAATTTTGAGCAACCAAGTTCTAAGTAACATTCCATAATCAAGTTTTATAATTACTATGCAGAAAAATAATACCTGTGCTATTAAATAAATTTGGAAAGTGTGCATAACTTCTCTTTGATATGTTGATATACATTATGAATCTCTAAAAATTGGATACAGTATGTTTTGTATCCTAGGAAATTTTCTTTTTATAGAATGTTAAGAATCACTGATTTATTCAAATATACTTTAAGAGATATTAGTCTAAATTATTCTAAGAGATATTAGTCTAAATTATTCTAAATTATTCTACATGCTAAGGATAAGAAACAGGTGCTAATTTCAATATATAATCAGTTAATACCCTGCATACAGAACGCTGTTTTGAAAGAAAAGTGGAGTATCTGGTCAAAACTAGAATGGGAACCACATTTGTTATGACTGGATTTCTAAGCAGGCCCAATCTGCTTAGTTACAGTCTTCTGTGGGAACCACTTAGGAAAGATACCACTGATTGTTTCAAAAACTGAATTAGCAATAGTAAAAAGGTAAAAAACAAGTAAAAGTGAAGAAATGAGTAAGCAGATACAGTACATTAGAACTAATATGCAGTCACTAAAATGTCAACACTGTTTTTTAAGTATATATAATTGTTATGTTAACATTAAGTGAATAAACAGAATGCACATATAGAATAATTTTAATAATAAGAAAAGAGAAGAGAAAGGAAATTCCTAATGGTACTTATATTATGGACTCTGAATATTTTTCTTTCTTTATAACTACATCCTATCTATATAGCATCTACAATGAGCTTATATTATACTATAAGCATTTGATTAAAAAATTACATCTCTCATTACAAATAATGCCAGTCCTTTTTGAATTTTTGATTTTCATAATTAGGAATTTTTTAAAAAGGCCACCAACAAGAATTATCTTACAACTTTCTTAGGAAGGGAATGAGTCATGATGGAAATACTCATATAAGTTTAGGTGACTGTACAGATGGTTCAGAATCTATTCATCCTCTTCTGAAATTACTTCCAAAAGTAACTTTTGGAAACTTCACTTGATTTTACCAATCTGAGATCAGAGTATACAAGTGAATAGTTTCTGTCCTATTAACTGTTCCTTTTTTTCTATTCCATTGTTTATTTTTAGAATATTTAGTTTTCAACTCCTGGATTCAAAACAAACAAAAAATTACTCAACTATGTCAACTACATCAAATGGTTACTATTATTGTAGAAAGATAGGAAAATTTGGAGATCTTTGATAGGAATAAGGAAGTGATGGAGCCACATTGTTGAAAACAACAGTTTTCCCATCATTTATAGAATCCTTTTGGAGAATGCATGTTTCAAAATATATTCAAAGAACATCTCTGAAGGCCTCTTATATGCCAAAAACTACTAGCTGAGGATAGACATATTAATAAGAAATGGCCAGGCATCCTAGTAGGGAGGGATGAGTGTCTTTTATTTTTGTGTCACCAACAATCACACCACCACTGCCTTCTCTTACTATCATATAGATGACAACAATATCATTTTCTCATTTCTCATTATTTGAATTCATCAGCACTATGCATTTTAGAGCACAGATCTTATAAAGCCATGGACATTAATTGATAAGAATAAACATCACCATTCTATACCCCTAATATTTTGAAGAGAGAAATAAAAGCAGATCATTTGAGTAAGTATGATAAACACTAAGATGCTAGGTAAATTGATGGTGCTATTAGAGCACTTAGCTAAGCTTGGGAATTTAGAAGACTTTTTGAAAGATATGATGCCTGAACTCAGTCCAAGATGAGTAGAATTCATCCTAGCTGAATTTATTCTGTAGCATCTTAGGAGATATACAAAAGTTCTTGAAGGTGATATGATTAGGTTGCCCTTTAGAAAGATCCCTTTGGTCTTATGATGGATTACATGATAACTACAGAGGGTTCAATTGTAGCAACTTGTGCAAGAATTACGTGGATTACATGATAACTACAGAGAGTTCAATTGTAGCAACTTGTGCAAGAAATGATAAGAACCAGAAAGAAGGTAATTATAATAGAAGTGAAAGGAGGGGAATAGATTTTAAAAGTTTTAAAACGGATTAGAAAGAATTGGATTCTGAGGGGCTGAGGTTGTAGCTTAGTGGTAAAGCACTGGGTTCAATCCTTAACACCACTTGAAAGCAAATGAAATAAAGATATTGGGCCCATCTACAACTTAAAAAAAAAAAAAAGAACCAGGTGTCAAGTTAAATGTGAAGCAAGATGATAGCATGATTTATTGAAACATTCATTGAGATAGGGAAACAGGTTTGCATTCAGGATTGGATAGGAATTTGGAATAGGAAGGCATGTGTTCTACCCAGGAGTCTTCAGGTGGAACTGTCCAAAAGCAGATAGGTATAAAGGTCTAGATCCTATCAATAAACATGTTTTAAATAAAGATTTGGCTTCATTAGCATGTAGTGAATGACTAAAGTGAAGAAAGTGGTTGAGATGACCCAGGAAAGATGTAGAATGAGGAGATAATTATTAATATTTTCCCTGGTTATATTTTGTTTTCTGAATCAATATCTTTGAATAATCCCTCCTATTTAGTTATTTTTTTCCTTAATGATTATCTCTTCCTTCTTTAGGCTATTTTTTAAAAAGTAGTCTATCTATTAAAAAAAAACATAAAAATTAGGCTTTTTCCGGAAGTGATAAATCTGGGAGTATAGATATTTAATAGTGTAATGCCAGTTAGAGCAGATTTCCTTTTCTAATGGGTGGCTTCCCTCTGACATTCAGTATATATCATTTTAATAGACAATTTGGTTTATTATAAAAAACACAATCTCTTCAAATTGTTGTTAATATTTATAAAATCAAGAAAATGCAGGGGCTCCGTGATAGAGTACTCACCCAGCATGCCTGAAGCACTGGGTTTGATCCTCAGCACCACATAAATATAAAATAAAGATATTGTGTCCACCTCAAACTAAAAAATAAATATTAAAAAAAAGAAAATACAATATGCTTCATTCTTTGAAGCATTGGATAATTTTTCCTCTGCTCTTTAACAACCTCGTGTATGAATAATCGACCCTGAATGTATTGATATGTAGAGAGAGGTATGAAGTATGTTCTGCTTGTTCTAGTCTTCTTGAATGTGCTCTCCCTCAATCATAACTTGAACATGGACCTCAATATTGCAGAGCATTGTAGTGAACTTGGGTTTTTACAGGTATTCATCACTAACGGCTGGCTAAGTGATGTTGTGATTGTAGTCGCAATCACAAATCGTGAAGCTCGTTCTCCTGCCCATGGCATTAGCCTTTTTCTGGTAGAAAATGGAATGAAAGGATTTATTAAAGGACGGAAGCTACATAAAATGGGATTAAAAGCCCAGGTAAGTCATGGTATAAATTTTATTCAGATAATAACTGAGGTTATTATCATTGAAAATAAGATATATAGAGAATTACATGTGGTACAATCACAACTGCCTATCTGAATTTCTAAAATGTTTTTCAAAAATGGTAGTGGAGATTCATTTTCAGTAATGCCACTGCATCTCTTTCTAGTATTCAGCAGTGGGAATGAATTAGGGTATTTTGAAAATCTGATTTAGAAATGGCAAAATTAGAGCTGAACATGGTGGCACATGCCTGTAATCCTAGTTGCTCAGAAGGCTGAGGCAGGATTACGAGTTTGAGGCCAACCTGGGCAACTTGACAATACCCTGTCTCAAAATTTAAAAAACGAAGAAAAAAAGGACTGGGAGTATAGCTCAGTGGGCATGCACAAAACCCTGGATTCAGTCCCCAGATTTATTTTTTTAAAAAAAAGGAAATGGAAAAATTAACTGCACGCTTTAATAAACCGTCTGTATGAAAATTACTGAAGAAAATTATGAAGAACAAAAAATATTTTTTATACACTACCAAAGAAAATGTTTTGCTTAATAAGTATTAGAAATTTCCACTTCACAGTTCCTAGAAAGCTGGACAGTATTAGAGCTTGAGTGACAGGGCATTGCAGTGGGAAAACCATAAGTTTTAGAATTAGAAGGACCTGGATTTGAAATCCTTGTTTTACCCCTTACTACTTATGTTCATTAACCACTCCTACATGGCTTCTAATTTGGTTCTTTTTTTGTTTTGTTTTCCTTGAATGGAAATAATAAGTCTCTTCACTGGGTTATAATGAAACATAAATGAGCTCATTCACTAGTCAATTATATGGTCTTTTAGGATACTGCAGAACTGTTTTTTGAAGATGTCCGATTGCCAGCTAGTGCCTTACTTGGAGAAGAGAATAAAGGCTTCTACTATCTCATGCAAGAGCTTCCACAGGTCAGAAATGTTTGAAGAGTCCATCTATTGATTAGATATTGGACTGGAGTAGAATAATATAGAACTATATAAATTAATGTGTGTAAAACTTGTGGAAAAACAGTCATTTGCATATAAAGTTATAAAAGAGAAAGCATGAATGTTACAGGCAAGATAAATAAATAACTGATCTCAAAAATATCTAACTGAAGCTTATAAAGTGAATAGGGAAATTAGGTATTTAGTTCTGTGATGCCTTCTTGAAATGATTTCCACTCCTTAACTACAAGTCAAAAACTTATCTCTTTGAGGGGAAAAAAAAAAGAACTTAGTTCTTTGTAAGGAAATGTCACTGAATACATTTGGCAGTTTTTAAATAACTGGAATCAAAGGGAAAATGTGTTAAGTTCAGACAGAAGAGTTTTGTCACATAGAGTAAGTATCCATATCTGTGTTTTGGGAATGTGGCTGCCTAGTGATCATTGAGTCTCACATGTCAGCTTAAGGGGATACCTTTGCCTGTTGACTGCATGGCATGGGCTAAATTTGTAATTGGGAAAAAGAGGTAGGGATACTGGCACTTAAATAAAATATGAAAATCATTAGCATGATGAATTAAGCTGGTTAAAGTTGCTTGTACTAATAGATAGAATTTATGCTATATACTTTAAAATATTGATTTCCATGGATAAATTAAGTTATACAGTGCCCAGAGATCAAAAAATAAAAGTCAACTATGGAATTTCTTTACTCTTGTGAGTAAAGAGAAAAATAAATTATATACATGTGTATGTATATATGTGTGCACACATATATATATGTTTATATGTATGTGTATAAATATATAAATATGTATATATAAAGCCAATCATTCATAAAAATAAAGGATTTGCTCTAGAGCTTTGGAAAATTATTTTTAAGATACATCAAAATAATCTCAAATCTCTGTGGGAGCCTTTTCTTATAAAGAGTTAAGAAATAAGTTAATCTTTAGCAGATTGTTTATAGGATTTATTAGAATTGAAATTGTCTGAAAGTCATTTGTGTAATTACAATAATGTTTAAGACTTAATTTTGGGGTTATAGGAAAGGCTGTTAATTGCTGACTTGGCAATTTCAGCCTGTGAATTTATGTTTGAAGAAACCAGGAACTATGTTAAACAACGAAAAGCTTTTGGGAAAACGGTTGCACACATACAGGTAAGTTTATTGTTCTTGTTATGATTTAGCATTAGATGATATCATTTTACTCATCTGAGCATTCCAAATTTTGAACCATTTAGTTTCTTCCTAAATGAAGGAACAGTGTAAAGCAATGTGGTCATCAACATCCCACTAGCAAGAAAACTTGAGCTGGGATTCTACCTTTAAATGTTTTAAGTAAAATGATTTTGGCTTGAAGACTTTGTGGAGAGGTAGAGATGAAGCATGGTGGTGGTGTTTCATTACAAAGATAATGCTCAGTGTGGTTTAAGTCTTGCATAGCTCCTAATATCTTTATAGTCAACGTAAGTTATGTCTTCTCTCTCAAATATTTTCCTGTTTATGAGACATGTAAAATATATTTGGTATATAAAATTGTAAGGTTTTACAATTTCAAAATCTTAAGATTTGTTAGATTTTTAATATTTACTCACAAATAGAAATATCTTCTTATTTATAAATAAAGTCAGTAGCTACCTCATAAGATTACTGTAGAGGATTCAGTGGGATATAATACACATATAGTGTGTAGAATATTGCCTGAAAAAACTAGCCCTCAATGAAGTTAGCTGTTATTTTTGCCCCTATGTAAAGCTTTGCTGTTTTGTTTCCATATAGGGGGCTTTTTTTAAAAAAAAAAAATAAATCAATTTCTTGGTCTTGCTTCTGTTCCTGATGTGGACCTTCTGTATATCTTTCTGGGAACTATTTGCTACCTATGTAATCTTCAAGTTATATTTTTTCCATACTGAGAAAAATATTACATCTTATTTTATTAAAATGCTGGCCTAAAACAGTTGTTCAAATCTATACAAATGAGGCATACACGCAAATCAAAATTACAATTTAAAAAACAGCATGACTTGATTTAGATAAATTGTGATTTTCTTAGGAACAAGGCTGTTGTATTTTATATTCCCTTTCATTTATGGATCACTGATTTGCTTATCTGTGGTTCCTTGATAACTGCACTCTCCCCTAGGGCATTTAGAAAGGTCAAGGATAGGCAGATGCATGTTGACTGAAGGTGTAACTTGTGCTATATCTTGGAGAGCAGTGTTGTTAAATGTTCTGTAAATCAGACATAGCTTTGTATTGCAACTAATTTTCTTATTCAAAATACAAATAATCTCATGAGAAGTACTGATTTATTGATTTATTTATTTTTGTTTCACAAGCACACATTTACCCATTGCCTTGTAAGGTTGTGCTCAAATGTAATTCTATAGGTGTGACTCTGGAATACTCAAAACTCCTGGCAATATGAAGGAAGTTATACCACTTGGTATCAGTCTGCAGCTTTCTCCTGTGTACCTAAAGTAGAATCAGTATTGTTATTCCTCTGAAATTCAACTCCCACAACTTTTCACATCAAAAATGTCTATTAAAACATTTTTACACAATTAGGCCTAAGTCATGTTATGCTAGCAGCAGCCTTCTGCACCTCCTATTTGATTGCAGCAAGAGGCTGTGTCATGCCTCCGACCCATCCCATCTGGATTTGTTTAAATACACTCTGTGATTGTCACACATCCATGAAAGTGCTGAAGTGCATGTTTCTCAGAATGTGTCCCCATTGTTAAGCAATGTCTGACTGTATTTATTTATTGCATTTTCATAGGCAAAAAGGCAAGAAATAGTTTTAATCCCTGCTTTTCAAAACAAGTGTCATTTGTTACCTTCCCCAAAAGATAGTTCACTAAATTTTCAGTAGGTGGCAGTAGGATTCTGCTTCTACAGGTTCATTATTATTTTCTAGTAATATTATTTTCCAGTAAGTGTATATGTTCTGAGATATTCTGAACTATGCTCTAATCTTCCCGTTTCTCTAAAATAAGTATCTTTGAATAGAATTTTCATATTTCCAGCTAGGAATATATGCAGAGAAGATGAATGACTAATACATCAATACATGTCTATATCTCCTATTCTATAGCTGAACACACTACAGTTGTAATTCAGCTGAAGTAGAAGATGATTACGTCTCCATATAATTGACTAAATGTTATTTTATGACCATATAACTATTGAGTTTCACTTAACTTTAATATCCTTGAATTTTGAACATTTGGGGCCTTTCTGAACTTTTGGGTACATGTCACAAAATTCACTTCCTTTTTAGAATAAAGAGCTACTATACTAAAGTAGCAGTAATTACAGGATTTTCATTTTTTAAAAAAGTCTGTACCTTCTTAGGTGATATCACAGCTCATGATTTTCTCTGGAATAGACAATACAGTAGTAAAATGTATGTAAAATAAAAAAATGGCTTCCTATATGCCGGACACTGTGCTAAATAAATTGTCTCATTTTTTTTGCCTTCACAACTGTACATTATTAATATTATCATCTTCATTTTGCAGATAGGGAACTTGAGGCATAAAAAGGTTAAATAACTTGCCCAAAATTATGTAGCTATCTAATTCCCCAACCCACACTCTATTTGATGCCCAAGGTTTAAAGTATATGGCCCTTTTAATTTTCCCTATTTCCTTCACCTACTGGTTGGCCAAATGAAAATGAAATGCCCTTTTTTTAACTAGAGCTCTTAGTCATTTCCTGTGTGGAACATGCTGTTGATGCTAAGGACACCAAATATTTGGGAAAGGAACAGGAGAGAGGGAAAGGTAACTTGTTTTTCTTCCACAAATCAAAAAGAATATCCTGTTCCTAAGTCCTTGAGTATATGATTAATTAACTATAAGATTAGGTGGTGAACATAATTTGTTTTATCTTAATTTAAGTCATAACATATGATGATAATACAACTAACAGTGTTCATATGACTACTGGGCTAGAGAACTTTTCAAATATGTCTTCTCATTCTAAAGTTCTAAGATATTTATCATGCAGAACTCTGAAAGACATTCTATCCAGTCTACTTAGTAACTTAAGAACTTTTTTTTACATGCTAGCCGCAGTATTACCTATTAGCAAATTTTAATGACAGATAAAGATACTGCTGAGAACATGTTGATCCTTCAAAAAAACACCTGGCTAATGATACAGTTATGAACTGCCATTCATTAGGGAATAATTTCAGACAGCATGACTCATTGTCTACAGTGAAAAGCAAAGGACAGTTCTGTTTGGTGGCACCTAATTCAGTGCCAAGAATATGTAAATATTTAATCTCTTCATCTGTAGAGAGTAAACGATGTACCCAGAGGCATGAATTTTTTCAGAAATCTCTGGACCTCACGGAATGTACTGAAGCAAGAATTCTAAATGACTCCATCCTTGTCTGAAATTTAACTTAAGCGTCTAGAATCTCCCAGCATTTGCATAGGAACAAGACTCACTTGAGAGAATAGGACTCAGGGGTCTTGATTATCTCATAATGTAAATAGTGCATAAATTTTCAAATGTGGCAAGAATATTTTGAGACTTATTGTATTCCCTTTGCTTTCCAAATGAAATATCATAGATAATGTCCTTGAACTAAGCCAGGAGTGATCAGTTTTGGGTATTTTTGTGGAATATTTACTCATGTGTTTTCAATATATAGAGAAGATTATTTCCTCACTGTTGATGTCTTGTTCTAGCTTTAGTTTTCTATGAGCAAATTGGAATGTGAAGAGTGAATGGGAAACTTTGTTCTGATTTAAAGGTAGAGATTTGACCTGATTAAATATTTAGTTAATAGAAATGGAGATAGAAAGAAGTAGAATGGAGATAGAACTAGAGGGGAATCAAGTTTTGACACAGGCCAGCCTGTTGAGATAATTAAGGCAAGGATCGATGCAAAAGTCGTAAGTGTGTGGTGTCAGCCTTCTCATTGCTTGGTTTTGGAATCACTAGATGCCTGTTATACTCTGTCTTTCTAGAGTAGCATTAGGGATAAAACCAAGGAAAACTATCAATTGGGTTTTTGATCAGCACAGCAATTCCATCTAAGAAGAAACTGTTTCTCAATGATCCTACTTCACCTGGCATACCCATATCTTTCCTTGTCCTAGGTCATTATTATATGCTCATTCTTTGATTTTTTCAGAAATGAAAAGTACCAAAATTGTCTCCACCACCAATAACACTGAAAAATTCAATTTTGTGTTTTGACAGTTACTATAGCCAGCAGTGTAAAAGCAGGCCCAGCATCCCATGAGAATTTAGTCCCACAATCCTCCTTTGAGAACTTAGTCATGGCTTTGGCCTTAGCAGTAGTATTTAGGTGGAATGCTTTTAATTTCTAATTTGAGTTTCACTGTATCACTTTTGTCATTAACTTCCACATATGTGCCTTCTATTAGCTGGAGTGAATTTCTCCGAAATTCCACAGCAGAATGATCAGAATTATTTCTATCTGGATTTCCACAAAGAAAACAGAGCCAGCTAACTGGCTGGGTCTCAGTCCTAAGAAGTCAGCTAGAATAGGATGTACTTTTGAAGGCAACCCAAAGTAGAATGTGCCAGTAATTCAAGTCCTAGCCAGTTTCCTGAGAGTGGATGCCAGAGTGAACAGATTAAACTCAAAGTTCAAGATATGAGAACCAAAATCAAGAAATAAATGAAACCCGATTGAAGGGAGAACTGTCAGGAACAATTGAGGATGGTCTAAGTAGAACAATTTCCAACAGTACTATTGGTTATCCATGGTTAACAGAGATAGGTACATAATATATTATCACTGACAATTTCAAACCATTCAGTTTAAGTTTGAGATGCTAGACAAACTCTTGAGAGGGATGGGAGGAAGTATGAGGAGAGGTGGGAGAGTTATAGGTTATTAGACTTTGATCTCTTGAGTGCTCTGATTATTACATTATTAATATTATAAATGGTTATTAATATAATATTTAGAAGCTATTTATAAATATATAAAACACCCTGCCCTTCCCCATTGTTACCTTACTTTATTCCAAGACAGAGGCAGAATAGGGAAATGTGTATACTTAATTTCATTAATGGAGAGTAAATCTTCAAGGATTTAGTTTCTGGAGGAAAATCAACAGCTGTACCTAAAGGACTATACCACAAGATGGGGCTCACACATTAAAGTCATGCTGGTTGGTTTTCAAGCAGTTTTCTTTAATGGTCTACATTTTATAATCTAAGACATGAGATGTAATTTATGTATTTATTTTTGCATCTTTTAGTACATGTTTTCTTAGCATTAAAATATACTATGTTTTGAATTTAAGGTGATTAATATATTCTTTTTTAAAATAGTAAAACCAATAATTCCATCTTTTTTGTTTTGTTCTAAAAATCTTTTGCTATATACTTTTTGAGATGCGGAGTCAAAATATGTACTTTTATATGCTCAATTTTTCTTTCATTTTCTTTAAACTCAAGACAGTACAGCATAAACTAGCAGAATTAAAAACACACATATGTGTAACCAGATCTTTTGTGGACAGCTGTCTGAAGCTACATGAAACGAAACATCTGGATTCTGCCTCTGCTTCTATGGCGAAATATTGGTATGCATGCTGCAGTAATTAAAATGTGGTGCTTGCTCAGACTGTTATGGAATTTTGCCATTAAACTCAGCCTTGAGGGTATTAAGGAAGAAGGCTGTATAAATGAAAAATAGCAGTAGGAATCAACTTTTAAAACTGCTGAAACTTCCCATTAGGCCTATTTCTAATATGCTAAAAATTACTCAAGTTTGTTAATTCATAACTTTCTATTCAAAATAAAGTATTAAGAGACTGAAGTAGAATGACTAAGATTACTTCATTCAAGTAATAGTTTAATTTCAAATTATCTGAAAGTGACATACAGTGAGGCTGCAAGAGAAAAGCAAAACTTAGGAGTCTTGGAATTGATTCTCAGTTCTTCCATTTGGTAATTTTAACTAAGTTAATTTCACTTGGGATAGCTTCTTGTTATTTGCAAAATAAAATTCAGGATTTTTATAAAATATCTTTTTTAAATGCCTTTATAAAATGTCTTTTTCCTCCAAAGATGTCACTTCCTACCTGAAGATCACAATTATGAATTTTAATAACTGTGAAATAAGTTTTTTAGGGTTTTGACTTTTCAGAAATAAACTGGAGATAAAAGTGAAAAACTAAAGGGTAGACAAGTAAAGTACATTTAAAGTACCTGGATAGGATTTTTCTGTTTCGGTTATTTTTCATATCTTGAAAAGAAGTATTGAATTATTAACTAATCAAAAGTTGTACATGTTTTATTAAAATGAAAGGGAAAAAAGTTTTACATTTAGAAAGATTTATAAGAATTTAAGATTAACAGTGATGTTAAAGATGAGTTAATTGAAAAACAACCCCTTTCAAGGCTTTTGTATATGTTAAGATGCAAGAATATGGCTGGGGTTGTGGCTCAGAGGTAGAATGCTCACCTAGCATGTGCAAGGCCATGGATTCGATTTTCAGCACCACATAAAAATAAATAAATAAAATAAAGGTATTATGTCCAACTACAACTAAAAAATAAATATTAAAAAAGGTGCAAGAATATATAATCTAAATTAGATTGTAGAAGTGAATTTGGTTGCCTCTTTTTGAAAACATTCTCACAGCTCATTAGTCCCAAAGTAGACTAGAAAAAATTCTTGTCATTCATTAACGTGGGTTCAGTTTAGTCATAAATAAAATAGGGGAAATATGTAGAATAGTGCCTTATATAATGATTCCTTAATAATAAAATTGTTGAATTGAAAAGTGTGGAATTACTAGGAACTTGCACTTTTAGGGAGACTTTTACATTTATAACAAGTTCCTTGACTAGAGGGAAAAATAAAAAAATTTTAGTTACTTTTGGGAAAATAGAAATTTGCATAGGTGTTGACCTTGGTCTTTGAATCCAGCAGGTTTATAATGATATTTAACATTGAAGCAGAAAGAGCAAGTTATTATAGCCCAGCCAATATTTCCATTAAAATATTTGCCAAATAAAAAAATTGAATCACAAATATTATTGCCCCAAGAGATTTGTCTGTTAATCATTATATTGTTAATGTATTTCTTAGGAACACAATCACCTGTCCTATGGCTTGAGTTAAAAATTATTATAAATAGGAAAATGTGTCTATGTTTAACTTTACTTTGTATTTTCCACTATTGAAAAATAAGCAGGAACAAATTTTAAATAGCTTACATTTTTGTTTTAAGAGGCATAAAATTCCTACCGGTTATCTGATGGATTTTTATAATAGTTAAAATTGTTACTGGGTAGACTCAGTAGTAGTAGCTCTCTCTCACCTAGCTTGCTTGAGGCTCTGTGTTCCATCCCCAGCCATGTGCAGCAAACAAAATTATTATGGTAAGATCAGAAAATACTTTTTCCCAAGTTTTTCATATTCATTTTTTTCTCTCTTCCTCTCCCACCTTCTTCTCTACCTCCAGAAATAAAAATCCCCAAATAATTTTTTTGGGGGGTGGTATGGAGATGGAATTCAGGGGCATTGACTAATGAGCCACATCCCCAACCCTATTTCGCATTTGATTTAGAGACTAAGTTGCTTAGCACCTCGAAGTTGCTGAGGCTGGCTTCGAACTCAAGATCCTTCTGCCTCAGCCTCCCGAGCTGCTGGGATTACAATTATGCCCCACCACGCCTGGTTCCAAATAATTTTTTAATGTTTCCTTTAAAACATTAAATGTACTTTTCTAGTCTACCTTTTTAGTTTTTCACTTTTATCCTCAGTTTATTTCTGAAAAGTCAGAACCCTAAAAAACTTATTTCACAGTTATTAAAATTTAGAATTGTGATCTTCAGGGAGGAAGTGACTTTTGGAGGAAAAAGACATTTTATAAAGGCAAAAAGAACTAGATAATTGAATAATGTAGATCATACATAGCATTTGCATGAATCAGACTTAATTCAAGTCTTTACTATATCCTTTTAAGCCAAAAAATAGCCAAAACCTAATAATATGAGTTTTCCACATTTGTTTCTAACCTCAATAAAAACCCAGCCAGAAATAAAATTGTGGGTTTTTTTTTATGTGAAAATTCTCTTTATTTCCAATGTAATTTTTATCCTCTGTTCTGCTTGTCTAATGTTTCTATTTGAATTGCTTGAATAAGTGAGTACATTTAAACAATTATAAATAATTCATTTCCTGATTATAAAGCACCTCATGGAAATCCCCTTCAAACATTTCTGTTTTTATGTCGGTCATCTAGGGCATCTGACTTACAAAACAGCGTTGCTTATGAATGTGTACAGCTCCATGGAGGCTGGGGATACATGTGGGAGTACCCAATTGCAAAGTGAGTACATTTGCTCTGTTATTCTCCTCTTAATCACATGAATGAAAGAAAATTTTACTGTACTATTTGTACATAAAGTATAGAGGGAAATAAGGTATGAAATCTTGGCATTTTTCAACTATCTAGGGAGATGTTCACTCAAATGGAAGCAGCTTTCTTTTATTGACTCACCATTAGGACCTTGATATTTTTAAAGAAAGTGAAGAGGTTAATATACTGAAGCTTGATACTTGTCTTTGAAGGAAATCTATTAGTTTTTAATTTATTTTAATTTGTTGTGCATCCATCATGCTGGGGATCAAACCTTGCCCATGCCAAGCAAGCATTCTACCACTGAGCTACACTCCCTGCTGCTTTAAAAAAAAAAAAACAAATGCAGTACAAATAATTAACTTGCATACTGAAAGGATCTTAGATGTCATATTTTAGTCAGGTGTGGTGGCACACACCTGTAATCACAGCAACTTGGAAGGTGAGGCAGGAGGATCACAAGTTCAAAGCCAGCCTCAGTGATTTAAGGAGACCCCTCCTCAAAATAAAGTCTGGGGATGTAATGCAGTGGTACATTTAACCTGGGTTAAATCCCAGTACCAAAACAAACAAACAAAAAAAGATGTCATACCTTAATTAGTTGATTATTTATTTTGCTCTGAAAAATAAACCAAATGTATTTGACTTTTTTACAGATTGAATTTTTACCTCTTTAAATTAAAGGAGATAATATATATGTTTTTATTGTATTACATATGACTACTCTTAGCTTGAGACAGTATCATTTGTAAATAGGCAGTATTTTATTTCAGATTTTTTCCCCTCTATCTCCATAATTTCTTTTCTTCATCCTGTGGTCTTCTACTTCTCATTACACTTATCATTATACTAGAAAATGTATTTTTCCTCTTACCAATGGTATTTTCAGTTCATAAAATTTTTCCAAGGAAGTTTTTGGTATACAGAGAAAAGTCCAATATAGTTGTGAATATGAGAATAAGAATGCTTTGGGCTTCTAAAATTTTTTTCTAATTTTTATCTGAAGGGGGAAAATTATCCAACTGGTATTCAATCTGTCAGCCTAATGTCTTTTAATTTATCGTTTTGACAAATATACTTGGAAACATTTGATATGCCTAGAATCATTATTGAGAAAAGGAAACATTTTATTAAGTTTCATTAAGTTAAGAACAGAAGCTTCAGCCTAGATAATGATTTGCTGGATTTTCTCTAGTCATTGGGCAGTTCAGAAAGCTTTGATTACTAAGTATATATAATTTATAACTATTTATGGGAATTTAGCAACAACCAGAGGTTGGTTTTATTTTTTTTTTGTCCTTGAGAATACAGGTGTAAAGTAGCTAACTTATTTCTCTTTCTCTTTTTGTAAATCTTGGATTTTGGTATATTCTTTCAGAGAACTTCTTCAAATATGCCTTAATGGAAAACAGATTTTAAAAAATATATCTGTGTATAATCATGAAATCAGCAATAAGCTTTGAGTTATACTAGTACAAACTTAATTATCATTGGAATTTTTACTGTGTATTTTTGTGTTTTACTCACATTATCCATCTATCTTAATTCATAATATTCAGAATGCTTAGAAAGTAAAATAATACTGGATGTTTATATATTTCTGCTTAACTGTGTTGTTACAACTGATGCTGGGAATGTAGACATGGAGTGGTTCAATGTTTATGTAGTTCAAGTTCTTAGAACCCCATATAAGGGGGACAGGAGTTAGCCATCTCTGTGGTTTAAGATTAGGGTATATAAACCAGGGTGGTGCATACTTGAGTATCAGCAACTCAGGAGGCTGAGGGAAGAGGATCACAATCAGAGTTCATTCATTCAAGTCAGTAGCAAGAAAATCTGTAGTTTGATGTCCTTTTTAAAATCCCTGATTTTAACTTAAAAGACATTTCCTTAAGAAATAATAATTACCCTTCTTGGCCAGTTTATTAGTTCAGAGTGTCTATATATCTAGATTGCTATGTTTTTTCCCCAAAGACATAGGGAATCCTAATATCCCCTAATATAAAAAAAAATCCTGTTAGATCTGTTAGGCAACACATTAATATAGTATACAGGCTTCAGTTTAAGAAAAGAATATCCCAATTGAGTTTCTTTGTCCCCTAGATTAAGCTACATTATTTGTGTGTATGTGTGTGTGTGTGTGTGTGTGTGTGTATGAATGACTGAGTGTTGGTTTCACAGATAAAAGAAGTGTTTTGTTTTCCCTTGTTATTTGTTTTGTTGCTGTCATTGTTTTTAATAACTAGTTTTCAGCATGTGGGTTTATTTCAGTCTTATTCATTAGGCTTGGGTCCATGAGAAGTGAGGTTTAAGCTTGGGCAAGTGTTTGAAGATTTCTTTGTCAGGCTAGAAAAGAGCAGCCTGAGATGGAGAGCCTGGTTGCAGTATGGTTAAACATTTCTTCTGCTGCCTTTCTCTGTTAATTTTAGTTGATGACTAAATTTAATTAGTAACCTATAAAAGGTATACTGATCTCTGTTGTTACATACTCTGTTGGAATTTCTTTCGTGTGAAAAAAAACACAATGCCTAACTCAGTCCAAAAGTACTGAAAAGCATTGGGACTGTTGAAGTAGACTAAAATGCCAGGAAGGTCCTTGAAATGCAAGTGTTTGATTTTGTGGGGAAACCCAAAGCTTGTCCAGAAAAAAAAAAAATGCATTTGAAAACATAAATGTCTCTACCTTTTAAAACTTTTACTAGAAAGTACTGAGATTGTAAATTCCTTTGTAATGTGGTAAGTCACATCAGTATTTGCTGAGTGCCTACTTGTAATATGAATATAGAACAGCACAAGTCCAACATTGGTCATGCTCCTAGAGAAATGCAGATTGATTGATTGATTGATTGATTGATTTTTATTTTTTTTGTAGTTGTAGATGGATAATACACATTTATTTTATTTGCTTATTTTTATGAGGTACTAAGGATCGAACTCAGTGCCTCACACATGCTAGGCAGGTGTTCTACTACTGAGCTACAACTCCAGCCCAAGAAATGCAGATTTAATTTGTCTTAAAAATTAAATAATTTAAAAAAATATAGATTTTTATATATGAGAAAAAAATGCCTTTCAATGTCTACTAGGAAAGTTCAGAGCTCAACAAGTAGCCCCACCTGGACCAATGACAGTATTGTGACATAATAAAAAAGATATTTGCCATAGAGGCAGGATACCTCATTCTCAATCCAGTCTGCCAATTTTCTGTTATGTGACCACTAAATGGTAACCACTAATTAGTAAATGTATTAACTTCTCTGAATCTCACTTACCTTACCTATAAAACAATAATGTTTATCTCCCTAAGCCCAGAACCAAGAGGTTAAATTGATATTAGAAAAGGTAAAAATAGCTATACACTGGCATGGTAGCTATCATGGCCATCAAAAGTGAACTCCTGACTGTGTGTGTGACAGTCTCACAGTAGACTCAGACACCTAGTACTTGAACTCCACACATCTGTGACTGTTAATCATTTCCAAAAAACAAGCTCCTTGTTATGTTTGTGGTAATTAATATTTTCTAGAGCATCAATTATATTCCCAGTGGTGGTACTGGGAAAGTAATTTCTCAGTTTTTGTCTTTATAAGCAGTGAGTTTCATTTTCCTAGAGAAACATTAAAGATAACAATAAATTAAGATATTCTATGCAATTCTAAATTTAAAACAGACTTTTCAGAATGCTATTATGTATGTATTGAATTTTACAAAATTAAATCAGATGAAACATAAATGTTACTTTGAATTTATAATCTCATAAAGCAAACTAAAACAAAGCTACATAAATTATCAATATCTTAGTAGTTGTTTATTTTTTTATATCTTTATTTTATTTTTATGTGGTGCTGAGGATAGAACCCATGCCTCACACATGCCAGGTGATCCCTCTACCTTTGAGTCACAACCCCAGCCTTCTTAGTAGGTTTTTTACTATGCCAATTTAGTATGAATACTGTACTAAAAAAGCATGAATAACTGTTATTGCTTAGATTTCACTAAATGAATAATATTTTCCTGGCAAGATGAAATTTAGAGTTTCTAATATATTTTATTTACATAAATTCAACCATCTTCTAATTTATCCAGAGCTTATGTGGATGCCCGTGTTCAGCCAATCTATGGTGGTACCAATGAAATAATGAGGGAGCTGATTGCAAGAGATATCGTCAGTGACAAGTAGACATCTGCCCACATCCTGGAATCCTATTACAGCTAATCTGGTTTTAAATCTACTCAAGATAAAATGAAACCTGGAAGGAGGGGAAATGCTAAATATGTTTTTATGTGCCTTCTGTATAGAGAAAGAAATCAAATATAAATATAACATTAACAGTGGAAGGAGAAATATCTGTATCCAAAGAGTAAAATTCTCCTGTGAAGGTTTTACTTTTAAGTTTTTATATTGTTAAAGGTCAAAATTTCTCTGACTCTAGAAGCCTTAATATTTCATTTATCTCTATAATTTTTAAAAGCATAAATTGCTTAAATCCCTAAAATTGAGGCAGAATTGATTTATATATGATATACTACTTTAAAAGCATTAACATTACATGGACTTTTAAAGGGAAAAATAAATCTAACTTAGACTATGAAGACATTTCAGCTACCTTTGCTCCAGATTCCCTGGAATATTGGTTCCTACCATGCTACCATCAAGTTCTTTTTGAGCAACCCTTCTTGGAAACAGATCATCACATTGTACCCTATAAATATGTCCAGTCATTGTGTATCAATTAAAAATAAAGTGAAACTTTAAAAAGAAAACAAACTTTGTGTAGAATGTCTCTTGGAAAGCCCTTAGTGAGGAGCTGCTATGGTTAAAGCAGGAAGCCCTCCTACCTCCTGCTTTGACATTCCTGGGACTCACCTGAAGGCTGTTGCCTAACTGGGACCACCGAATGCTCTTAGTTCTCTTATCTACTGATGCCTGGACTTTCAGTAGACTTCCATTTCAGTTTATAATAGGACACAGACTTCATCATATTTACATTTCAGGATACTGGTAAGTATCAAAACAGTAGCTTTTATTTTGTAAGAATATAATTTATTGATTGATTTAACAAATACTTTGTATCTTCTATAAACCAGGCTGTTAAAAATATAACAGCAAACTGGTAGTAATAAATCATGCAGGAAAAAAAAAACAAGACTATCAAATTATATTAATTATAATAAAAGAAAGTTAGCATTAAAAATAAAGTAAGGAAATCACACTTGATTTGAGAGTGAAAAGTAACTTATAAAAATTAAACCATTAATTTGTAAACTGCTAACATCATTTCAGTAATTGTTCTTTGCATATACTGGTGAATCAGTGAATAAAACATTTTTAAAAAGTAAATAGATGTACTCTTGTTCAACTTAAAAAACTTAAAGTTATATTACCATTACAATGAGGTAGAGCAGAGAGAAGAGAGAGATTTCTTCAAAATATATAGCTTTGATTTTTCTTTTTAGCAGACATTCGCTAACCATGTTAGGTTCTTTCTTATATGCATTAATTACCATGCAATATGGGTTAAAATAAGTTTTTATTAAGTGTTACATTATATGAAGTTTTTACCTCCTTCTTAGAATCAAGTGATAAAAGGATTTGACTAGACCTTATCCCCACCCCCATCCCCACCACAGTCCCTTTTTTTCCCATTCCCAATCTTATGGAAACTAGATTTTAGGAATATATCATCTGTAAATAAAATAGAATACGAAAAGCCTGTAGAGGTGGACAGATCTGGGCTTGAATGATGACTCTACTATTTAGGATCCATTCATTGGACCTTGGACAACTTCTTAGCATTTCTTCAGGTGCAAATTATTCATTCAAGCCATTATAAGGAAAATACTTTAGTGTTGTGGTTTAAAAGGATTACAGACTAGTCACAACAGTTCAAATGTTAGCTGTAGTGGCTAGGGTTTCAAGGACCTGATTCTAGAGCTTAGAACTGTCTGCAATTTCCCTAAATCCACTTCTTTCTAGTTTTCTTTGCAAATTGGTCTAAAGGACACTGAAGAAGATCTTCATTATGAGATGTTGGACTATTCTATCCCTGCATCCTTTAGCACAATGTCATAAGTTAGGGGAGAGATGTACTATGATGTACTCCTCATCAGGAGTGCAGGGACAGGGAAAGCAGTTACTAAAGTAGAGAATGTAATTATCAAAAGAAAGGGAACAAAAAAGTCTGCCAAGCAGACCTAAATAATCTTTCCCTCCTTCCTTCTCTCTCCCTCTCTTACACAGTTATTATAAGTTCTGTTTATTCTTATATATCACAAAATGAATGGATATCCAATTATGTTTTCTAAAAGTAATCTGAGATTTTTTTCTTTCTTTTAAATTGTTAGTTTTCTTTACCTTACCGCCTTCAGTCTTTTATACCCTCAAAAGAAGCATGTGTTGAATCATGGACTTAAAAACTAAAAGAAGTGCTGGGTCAGTGGCGCAGGCCTGTAATCCCAGCAGCTCTGGTGGCTGAGGCAGAAGGATCTTGTGTTCAAAGCCAGCCTCAGCAAAAGCAAGGCACTAAGCAACTCAGTGAGACCCTGTCTCTAAATAAAATACAAAATAGGGATGGGAATGTGGCTCATGGTCAAATGCCCCTGAGTTCCATCCCTGGCACACCACCCCCCACCAAAAAAAATAAAATAAAATAAAATAACCTACCAAAAAAAAAAAAAGGAGGAATTCAGAATATACTTCTTAACTTTTCATTTTATTTTCATTTCTTAAATAGCTAATCTTTGTGCATTGCTTGTGTGGTTGTCCCCTCAGGAGAAAATTTTATCATCTACATCTCATGCTGTGATGAGGAATCAAGAAACAGTAAATAATAATAATGTTCAAAAGAACAGGCTGGATTGACACAGCAAGAAAGCAAACTATGTAAATGTTAATGAGAATTTAAAGGCCTAGTCATTGGGGTTTTGGCTGAGAATTTAGGATCATAATTATCACTTTAAAATTATTATTGCCCTTTATTTCTTTGATGCTGTCATTAAAGACTGCCTTGACTTGTTATTTTAAATTCTAACTCTGCAAATCTTTCTAATCTAGTATTTTAGTTGTTTATTGCTCAAAGTATAAGATTTCTAGGAGACTTTTCATGTCAGTATTATTTTTGGCACACATAGCATTTGCTTATTTGGACCAGCATTGGAAAGATCTGATGTTGTGATTGAAACCAACTGTAAGCCTGTGTCAGCTACTTTACAATAAATGTTGAAAAGAGGTTGTATTCTATTTTTTAAAACCTTATTTTCAAGAAAAAAGTTATGGGAAAAATTCCAAACATACTGAAAATTAGAGTATAATATAGTGAACCTCTAACCTCCTCCCACCCCCTTTTTCTCAAGTATTTTGAAACAATTCCCAGGCTTGATACTGTTCATTACACATGTGTTTCAAAATATGTATCTAACTGATCAATATTTTTTACATAGACACCAGGCTATTATCATATTTCAAAGATTTAAATTTAACATATAATGCCAAGTTCACATTAAATTTTCCTTGGGTTATATAAAAAACTTTTTTCTCTGTGGTTAATTTGTTCAAATCAAGAAAAATCTAAAGAAGATCCACAAATTGCATTTGGTGGTATTGTCTCCCAAATCTAATCTTCCCTTTTTTCCTTCTTCTCTTTTTAAATTTTCAAAAAACAGATCACATATTTTTTTTCCATTTTTGGTATACACACAGTAAAGTTTTTTTTTTGTTTTCTTATTAGAATTTTAGCATGTATAGGTTTCTGCAGCAATAACCAAAATCAGGATGCAGAACAGTTATATCACCCCAGAAAATTCCCTTTATAGTCACATCTTCTCACACTTTAACCCCTGACACCAACCAATCTAAACTTTGGTATTATAGTTTTGAGTTGGTAATATAAATGGAATCATGCAGTAGGTTACATTTTGAAAATATCTTCTTTCTCTTAGAAAAATGCACTTAAGTTTTACCCATTTTGTATGAATCAATAGCTTGGTGCTAAGTGGTATTCCACTGTATGGATGTACCACAGTTTGTTAATTTAATCACCTGCTTAAGGAAATTTCGGTTAAAGTCAAATCTTAACTTCTTGCCAAGGTTAAATATCAGGGAGGGTAACTGTTGAATCACAAGGTAAATAAATGTTTAACTTAGAAGAAAGTGCCCAGCTGTTTTTCCAGAATGTCTCTATCACTTTGCCTCCCTGCCATCAGAGTTTCTGTTGCTTGTAATATTCTCCAGCATTTGTATTATTATTTTAGCCATTCTGAAAGATATGTAGTGATATCTCATGGTTTTAATTTGCATTTCCCTAAAGTCTATTGATGTTGAACCGCTTTTAATGTGCTTATCTTTCACATGTATCCATTTGTGAATTGTCTGTTCAGGTCTTTTGTCCATTTTATAAAACGTTGGGCTGCATGTTTTCTTAACATTGAACTTTGGGAGTTCTTTATATGCTCTGATACTTTCAAGTGTTTGACAAAGCCAGCTTGACAGATTGATCTAGTTAAAAGGAAAACAAAAACAAAAATCATTGGGGCCTGTATTTTTACTTTTCAACATAAAATTCCTATATTATATTTATACTTACATATTGAATTGTAGAGCCATTGTAAATTATGTTGATTTTGAATTATGGCTAATAGTTATTGCCAAGATAATTGTTGTAACTTGATTTTGTATCTTGTATTTTGCTAAATGTACATATCAATTCTAGGAGTTACTTTATAGACCCTTTGGTACAGTCTGGATAGATAATGTCATCCATGAATAGGAACAGTTTTCTTTCTACATAACCTGTATGTCTTTCATTTCTTTTTTCTCTTTTTTTGTGCCCTCCCCACTTTGTTTTGGTTTTATTGTACAGATTAGAACTTCCACTACAATGTTGAACAGGAATGAAGAGAATGAACATTTTTGTTCCTGATCTTAACAGGAAGATGTTGGAGGTTTGTTTTTTTTTTTCACATTATATGTTATTTTTTAAGACTTTTGCTTTTTTTTTTTTCCAATAGTAGCCCTTAATCAGATTGAGGAGGTTCCATTCTAGTCCTAATTTTATGTGAATTTTTAACATTAATGGATATTGAGTCTGTCAAATACTTTTTTCTACATCATGTAGTTTTTCTCTTTTGACCTATTAGTATAACAGATGTCATAGTCTGTTCTTGCTGGTATAACAAAATGTCACAAACTGGGTAATTTATAAATAATAGAAATTTATTTCTCCCAGTTCTGGAGTCTGGTAAGTCTAAGATCAAGGTGCTAGAAGGTTCAGTGTCTGGTAAAGAACGAGTCTGTGATTCTAAGAGGTGCCTTGAAGGCTGTGTCCTCAGGATGAACAGTGTTCTCTCATGGCAGAACGGCAGAAGAACAAAATGGAGCTATCTAGTCTCTCCATACCTTTGTAAAGGCACTAATCCCATCAGAAGGAAGGGTAGAGCCCTTATATTTCCTAAAAGTTTTACCTCTTAATACTGTTGTATTGAGGAATAAGTTTCAACTTGAATTTGGGGAAAGAAAACATTCAAACCAGAGCTCTGGAGTATATTCCTTGACATTTAAGTATTAAACCAAATTTGCATCCTTGGTATTAGCCCATGTAGTCATTATTTTTTGTCTTCTTTATATATTATTTGGATTGATTTGGTAATAGTTTACTGAGAATTTTTGTGTGGGTTCTTAAGGAACATGAAATTATAATTTTCTTGAACTTTCTTTTCTTGTACTGTCTGGTTTTATCAGGGTAACACTGACTTCATAGAGTGAGTTGAGGA